CCCGCTACCACCGAGCGCGCCGCTCGGTCCCGCGGTCCGCCCGGCCCCTCCGCCCGAGTCCGCCCGAGCCCCCGGCCCCTCCTCCCGGCAGCGGGTCTTTACCCACCCATGGGGGCAAATCACTGCAGCCCGGGCACGGGCTGGGTCACAGCAGCTCTGGGGCTTCTTGGAAGAGCCAAGGGCCCGGCCTGAGCCGCCCTCCCGGGGGGGTGAAAGCAGCGCCGGGAGCGGGAGAGGGGGCTCGGGTGGGCTTCGTGCTAAACAATAACCCGTTTTCTGGGGGAAAACACCGCGTGTTTGCAGCTGCAGAACCAACAGCCACGTCTGCACCTACCTGGAGCTTCGTCAGGCTGTGTGAAGTAAATACAGAGTGGTAATGAAAGGGGAAAAAGAGAAAAGGAGGATAAAAAAAGAAGAAAAAAGGTAGGAAAAGAAAGAAGGAAATAAAAAGTTAGGCAGGCAGACTCCAGTCACACTACATCTGCTTTTTTAGATAATCACCAGGAAGAAAGGACAAACAGTATTCTATGGGCTCAGAGAAATAAAAGGCAGTCAAGACAGCCTGTAGGATTCTGGTTCATTTATTGAGTACATGACAGGTAAGACAGACAGACAGTGTAAAATCACATGTATTATTGGTACTTAAAAAAATTTACAATAAATTACTGAATAATTAGTAAAAGCAGTATTTACTAATGGCTGCTCTCCAGTGACACAGGCCAGAGGAGGCAGAGAAATCAGAAATACGGACCAGCTAGGAACAGATACAGAGAATGTAAAAGGGAGGAATTAACACTGAGTAGCACACCAAGTAGTGTTAAATGGGAACATCCAACCCACGTATGTCCTTCCCATCCTTCACACCCCCAGTGCCAGCCAAAAGCTGCCCCCAGCCCTTCAGTGCAGGGTCTGCTCTGGCCCAGCAGCCACATCTCTTGCTCCAGCCCTCAAGGCAGGTGCCAACGTGCTGAGATGAATTTATCTGCAGGAACAGCAGTAACTCTCCTTCCTCTACTACCAGAAGGATAACTCTTACTTTCTCCTGCTCTGAATTGATTTAAAAGAGCAGTTGCTCAGTTCCCAGTTGTTCTCTCTCAGTGGAAAGAGGTCTATTGAGGTTTTCCACAATGGGCTGATAGCAGAGGGCCACACTGCCTCAAATTCTTCCTCTTTAGGTATAAACGCCCTTTGATGTGCAGCAGTTTCAAAGGGCACATCCACTGCTAGACTCTTTGTACAAGGGATGGTCAGAAAGGACACACTGAGCAGCTGCAGGTGGCACAACACTCCTCCTGCACATGGTCCTGCCCCAAGCCTTTGCCAGGGCTGATGGGTCAGAGTGTTCTCAGGGGTCCTCCTAACAACTGGACCCATCACTAGGCTGGTAAAAATGGAAAATCAGTAAGTAACAATTACAGAAACTTTTCTGTACTGACAGGGGAAAGTTCAGCAGACCAGTATGTCATTGCCCCGTGATGCTGATGCTGATTCACTGACTTCTAATTTAAGAACATAATCACTCATTGTGACTGTCACCAGCCCTTAGACTGATTCACTATCACCTCAACACTGAAATCAAGGAGCTTGTAGCTTCCCAAACTAAAACCAGTGGCTTTCAAAGAATTAGAAAAGCAAATGCTAGAAAACCAGGTTTGTCTGAAAACTCCTGAATGCTGAAGGAGAAAGAAAGTGATCACACACTATGAAAATGCAAAATCACATCTGAAAGAAACCTGTAGATCCGTGATTAGACCTTGGGATGCTGGGAGCAGTGGGGCACATCTGCATGACAGCTGCTGAGTCACAGAACAGCACTGAAGAACTTACAAGACTATTTATAGATCAGGGTCCTATAGCACTTGACTACATTGCATTAGCTCTCAGGTTGGCAGCCAGAGGTGCACATGGTTTTCAAGCCAGGCTGCATCTGCTGTGCAAGTTACCCAGGAACCTACAGCAAACAAGGGCAAGGAGCAGGTATCATCTGAAATAAAACTTCATTAAAGTAAGATAGCAAAAGGCAGACATGCATAATTTATGGTGGTAATTCTATATGTCAGGGGCTATTAGGTTCTAATGGCTCTCGAGAATGTAAATCTAATTCTGTCAGCCAGAGTAGCCAAAGAAAGCACCTACACAAAACAGTCACTGTCAGAAGCCCCTTATCGATTGGAATCTATTGCAATTGTGTAGTTACTGGTCTTGGATTAAACAAAAAAAACCAAACCCCAAACACAAAATACCAAGCCATCCAGCCATCTGCCACATTATCTCCCTGTTTTGTCTTCTAAAGACAGTTCCTGCTTTCTTGAGTTCACCCTGACACAGCAGAAAGTTCATAGTCACTGGATGAGCTGAACTGCCTCTCTACCTTCTTCTGATCTTTGATTTTCTGGAGAATGTTGACTTTTTTCTCAAAGTAGTTTACAAGGGCTGTTTCTGTCAGCATGGAAGCCAAGATCTGCTCAAAGGAGATAGACCAGTCACTATCAATGGTACTACCATACCTGGCAGCTGAGCTACTGCCTTCACAACCAACCAGGACCGTGTCATCTGCGATGTCTTCACACTGCAGGGAGCCTGTGCTGACCATGGAGTAGGAAGACATGGACATATCATCTTTGGTTTCATCATCTGATAGCAGCTGTAAAGGAGAGCCTTGTCCTTCCCCTGACCCATCTCCTAGAGTTTGGTTCTCCTGCGGTGTTTTTTCAGGCTGAGCATCTCCGCAGGTCTTCTCCTTCTGGTCAGCTTGGGGTTGCTGCTCCACTGCTGAATTCTGACTCTGCTCGGATGTCGGTGACTCCTCTTCGCTCACAGGATCTTGGCTGTTGTTTGCTTTGCAGTCCTCAGACTTCCTCATGGGCCTGTTGGAGAATTTTTTCCCAACCTCCCCAATTCGAAGAAGGAGACTGGCTACAGTGGCAATGGCATGGTACAGCTCCTGCTCCACTGGGTCCTCACTGAACATGTTGTACAGGGTCTTGCATAACTCTATGAACTGTTCCTGTAAAAGACACAAGACCAAAAAAAAAAAAACCATACTTCAGGCTGAAAAAAGTTGACAGTGGTAGATTATAGAATCATAAAATATCTCAAGTTGGAAGGAACCCATAAGTATTGTTGAATCCAACTCTCTGGTCTGCATTGTCTGGATGCTCATTGAGTTGAAGCAACAGGCACCATCTTGACTGACTCCCTGATTACCTGCCTTCCCACCAAGTAAGCAGCAATTATTCTACTGATTCAGAACAGTCCAATACAGGCAAACTCCTCTCTCTGCTGTAGCAGCTACATTGAGACTCAGTTAGCAAATTCAGAGTGGTGGGGGGGGGTTTCTGACAGATGGTCACATATTCATATCTGAGAAAACCTCCAGAAAACTTCTGTCCTGCTGCTCTTTTGTGGTCAGCTTCTAAGCATTTCCAAATGGGTTTAAATAGCACCCATCAAGTAAGTTAGAGACAGAAATGATCACACCAGTCATCAGACTCTTCCCTGTAGCTGCATTATTCACTCTCCACCAAGCAGCTGTAACTCAAGGCAATGAAAAACCAAAAGAGCCAAACAAGTTTCTATGACTGATGGAGTATTTGAAACATACTGCTCTGGAGGGAAAAGAGATTGCAGTTCTTACAGGAGAAACTGGGAGGCAGATAGTCAAATACATTTGATTGGTGGAAACACAGCAGTTTGTCCATGTCCACTAAGGAATTCAACAAAGATGTGTGGAATTAGAGGCTTCTGAAGCTCACTAGAGCAGAATTGCAATCTATAGGCAAGGAGTGAGCCTGCTGACAAATGGCTGCACAAACTGCTGAACTCCCCACTAGGCTGTCAGTCATCCAATTGGAAGCCTTCATATATACTTACCTGGCTCATTTTGGGGAGATCTTTAATGGTTTCTTTCTTGGACTCTTTTTCCTTGGCCCACATTCTTAGGTAGTATCTATAGTCCTGTGGACTGGTACCTTTCTCCTCTGGAAGGCAAGAACAAGCCTTTAATGTCAGGTGTTCAATGGTTTCAGACTTAAAGTGAGTGCTGTACCAGCAAAAATCATGCTGGAAGCAGGTTCTATGGACAGTTCAGGAAAGCATCTCCCAGGAAGGCTGCATTGTTTTCTGCTGGTTTACCTGATCCAGTTCAGCAGAGCAAAAATTTCAACACTGCTGCGTCAGCTTGACTTCTCATAAATGAACTCTCTGAGTGGACAACTTACCAAACAATTTACAAATGTCATGACCTTGGTATGTAAAAGAGTCAGGACTGTAAGGGATAAGAGAGATTTATTTCCTTCTTTAGCTCTGCCCACGAGGAGCACTTTGAAAAGTCTCCTTGATACAACAAAGGACAATGAACAGATCATAATGTGAGACAAGACTAGAATGTGGTCTGTTTATGATGTAATTACCTTTTTCTGGACCATTCTCATTTCTCCTTCCTTTATCTTCTTGGGTTTCTAAGAAATTATGACATTAGAAAAGAATGATTAATAGCTGATTTTCAGCAATACATCACATGAAGAACATAAGACAACTTACAATTTAAAATCGTACAAGAATAAATTTAATAGAAGTTAGATCTCACACTCCTGCTTTGTATTTGGAGGAGTGAACAGAACGGGATGGAAGAAAAAAGCCAATGGGATGAACTGGATAAAGAGCCACACTGAAAAAGTGGGTTTCAGAGCTGAGGCAGAAGGCAGGACTCCTAACAGAAAGGGTGAAACACAGATATGAAGGACAGCTAAGCATTGTGATGGCTTAAAGACAAAGAAATTCAGTTATCCAAAGCAAGGTAATGAATGGAAAAAACCCAAACCACCACTGAGCACATATGTGACTAATATCTACACTCGGCACTACTGAGTGACTGAGCAGACACTCTGGGAGTGGCCTGCAGAGTCTAACTTCACAACTTCGCTTCTGGTTCCCTATATTGTCACTGAACTTCATAGGAAATCTTAGCTCAGACTCAGCCATCTAACACTAAACAGCACAACTACTTAATACTGGGGTTTTTAGGCATTATTCTATTTTGGTAAATACTTTGCACAAATGACATACTTTGTCCTCCCATTTGACCATGCCTAGAACTGTATTTTAAGAA